TCATTCAGGAGCCTGAAGGGCTTTATACGAAGGCCCTTATGGCCTCAGGTCTGGAAGCTGGCCGTGAGCCACCAAGCCAGGGCTGCTCCAGGAAGGAGAGGCCTCCAGAGCAGGGAGCTGCCCCGCCCCACCCGTCCTCACCTGAAACCTCTCCCACGCCCACCCTCTCTCTCTGCCCCTCCAGGGCCCTGGACCAGGCTCCCCATCGCAGCAGCCTCCCCTCTGAGCCCCTGTGCAGGGTCCCACCTCCACGGCCCGTCACCAGCCCCGCCAAGCACACTGCCTCCAGGGTGCTGGCTAAAATTCAGCCCAACGCTGTGACCTACAGCCCGTGCTGCAGGCTGGCTCTGCTCAAGCACTTTACGTGGATTATCCCACCTAACCTTCACAATAGAGAGACCTGCAAGGCTTCACGTCCCCCAGGTTCAAGCCTGAGGCCCAGAGAGCTCAGTCAATCCGCCCCAAGTCTCAGAGCCAAAAAGGAGTAGGGCGGGGCACCCATCCAGGTGAGCAGGCTCCGAAGCTCAAGCACCAATAGCCACCACCTGCACTGCCACCCTGGGCTCTTCAGCTTCCTGTTTGGGACCTTTTAGGAGATGACTTCAACCAATGTTTTCCAAACTTCTTCCCTCTGATTTCTCTCCATGCACAACGCACTCACTGTCTCCTTGCCCAACACATACATACCCTCCAATTCCCGCCTCCCAGACCTTGCTCAAGCAGTTCCTCACCTAGAATGTCCCTCTCCCACATGCTCCCTGGGCTCATTCTATGAGGCTTCCCTGATGCCACCCCTTCCAGGCAGTCTTCTCTGATTTTCTCCACTGGGAACTGTTCATGTCCATCCCATCTTTCCCTGCTAGACTACTCTGAGCTCCACTGTGTTAAGCACAGACGATGCAAAGGTAGCTGAGATCCCTTCCCTGCTGCTAAAGGCTGACTCTCCCCCTACCCCTATATATATTTAAGGCCTAATCCCCAGGCTTAGAATGTGACTGTATATGGAAATGTGATCTTTAAAGAGGGGATTAAGGTAAAATGAGGCCATTAGAGTGGGTCCTGATTCTGTATGATTGGAGTCCTTATAAGAAGAGATGGGGAAACAGATACAAAGAGGAGACGGCCATCGATAAGCCAAGGAGAGAGGCCTCAGGAGGAACCAACCCTACTGGTCCCTTGATCTTGGCATCCAGCCTCCAAAACTGTGAGAGAATGCATTCTTCCAGTCTGTGGCACTTTGTTATGGGGGCCCTAGGGGGCTAATACACCTGCCCTCGAGGAACTTGACATCTGACAGGTGCACTAGGTATCACCCAATTCAGAAGCTCCACATCGCTGATTCAGAGCTCTGGTTCTCTGGGTATAAAATAAATATAAATGTTAGGTTCCTGGAGATCCATGAGCAGAGACCATGCGTAGTCAGCTCAGAATTATCGCTACATACAACTCCCCAACATCCCCAAGCCCACAGACACAGCACAGAGCAGGTGTGGAAAAGGGCTGGGGCAGAGGCGGGCAGTGCTGATCTACGGACTAACAGAGACAAAGCTGAACAAACTGGGCCCGGCTGCAGGGGAGTCATGTTCTCGTCCATTGATGCATCAAAGGCAAAGTTCCAGTGTCGTGAGGGAAGGAGTGCAGGTGAGCTGAACTTAAAATAAGTATCCTAAGCACGTGATTCCCCAGAAACAGTAAAACTGGGACAGGGCACAGCACACTCCCAGTGGGGTAGCAGGACACCATGACCCCAGAGGCAGAGACCTGTATTCTGTCATTGGGATCCACCTCCAGATCACACCTCGAGACCCAGAACCTGGAGCCTCTGAGCACAACCCGTCCTGCAGCCATCAAAGGTAACGCCGCTTGGTTTCATTGAAACGTTTAATTCCACACCTAACAATTTGTTTCTACAGCTAAATGTCAGACAGAAAGGCAGTGTCTGGACTTCCCAGCAAGCCGCCTTCCCTGTCTGCACAGGGAACAGGAGGGAACCAAGCCTTTGGAAGGAAAACGCACACAGGTTCCCAGCGCCTCAGCGACAGAGGCTTGTCTCGGAACCAGCTTGAATTCCTTTCTGCAGATGCTCTAAAATACCATTTTCAAAAGTCGGTCCCTCTCACCAAATGTTGTTTTTTTTAATACACCTGACATGGTAAACTCTTTCTCTGATCACACTGACTACATCCGCAGAGCGTAGCTTCTCGGGTCCAGATACCTGAGCAAATTAGGTGAAATAAAATTTTGAAAAGGCTCTGCTCAGCAAGTCAGTCTCAAGTTCGTTTCTTTTCTGTTATAGTTTTCAAAGATGGTCCTTTAAAGTGGAGGTGAACCAAGTGCAGAATCCTGGCTAAAGTCTTTGGCCCTGAGACTGCCAGAGGGAGCGAAGAGTGATTCTGAAACACTTCACGTGCCAAGAAAACAATGCTATGCGTGCGCGGAATAACCAATGCGAAAAATGGTTTTATTTGGCGCTTGCTTACAGCTTTCACTCCTCTTGAGTTTTCCCCAGGCAAGTGAAAGTCTTAAAGCATCACCTGCTCTCCAAGCCAAGGGATGATGCGCTTTTGCAGAGAGAACTCCAGTATCCCTAACTTCCCATTCCAGAGAATGGGTGAGCAGGGGCGGGACGCGGGAGGAGGAGGTGCTTGAGCCAAAAGCCTGGGTCAGCATCTCCAGGCGGCTGGCCTTCTCCCACCCACAGACTCGGACCCTTGCTAATAGCAACAAGTACTTCGGCTTCCGCTCCAAAGTGTCTGCTGAGTGCCAGGCCATGCCCTGCTCTCCACTGTCAGCCTTGCCTCCCATTTTGCAGTGACCAGGGGAGAGCTACAACTGTCAAAGCTCCTCTCCAGATCTGGTCTTCCTACCTGCCACTAAAAAGAAGCCGGCAACCCCTCTTATAGTCCCCACTTCCAAGCCCCACCCCACCCCACCCCACCCATGCACCTGCCCAGTAAACAGCAAACAGTCACAGAGGAGTCCCTAAGCTCAGCCACTGTCCCCAAGGAGCAAAGCCAGGTGGGCTCCTTTCCGCCAGGCCCTGCCCCCCAGTGCCCCAGCCCCTCCCGCCCAGACCCCTCCTCAGTCTCTCCAAGGAAGCTCTGCACTCAGCATGGGGGTGGGCGGGCTGGGTGTCAGTGAGGCCTGAGGGTGCTTGTCCCACCTGAGAGGCTGGTCCCCACCCTTCAGTGTCTCTCTCTCCTTTCACCACCACCTCCCCAGCGAAGCTGGGCGATTTAGGTATTCGGGCTTTACAGGACTGACTGTCAATCACGTGTTCCTTGGAGTTACTGGTGGTGTGTCGGGGTTTCCTCCCAGTCCCTGTGTTACAGCTTACAGTACACGCAACGTGGTTTGCTGCCCAGTGTTGGGACGTAATGAAGGGCGGGCTCCAGCTGCCCATCTGGGGCCTGACCTCTCTCGCAGGCCGCTCAACGGGATGGCCCCCCAGGGCTCTTCCAGGGAGGAGGCCCTGCTACCCTCCTCAAACACTACCCTCAGGGCCCTGACGACTGCCCCCTGCTGGCCGGCGGTGCCCAGGACGTCAGCTCCACCCCCGCCCTCCCCCCAGGGCTTCTCCTCTGACTGGAGATGGCAGAAAAGACCAGAGACTTGGCGTCTGCGCGAGAAGCTGGTAGGGGAGGGAGCCCGGCAGGGCACTGGACTCTAGGCCAGTCAGGCCCATCCAGTGCTGCCCCCTGCCCCAACATACTCATCCACTCACCCTACCCCTTTTCCAGCAGAATTCCCCACCTCAGAGCCCCCCAGCAGGGCCAGACAGAGGAGGTGGGTAAAAGTGTCTCCCAGCTCAGCAGCCCTACCCTGACTGAAGCAGCGCATGGATCCTCACCCCTCCACTGCCAACAGTCCTGGCCCTATGCTGCGTCCTCGGAACTCTGGCAAGCAGTGGTCAAGGAGAGGAGTTGGGGGTCAGCCATTGGACAGTGAGTGGACACTGATGGAAGGGAGTGAGGAGGGGCTCCCATCTCCTCTCCCCATTCCATCAGCACCCACCCCCCACCCACACACACAGCTGCCACCTTCCTGCACCACTCCCTCTCCCCAACTAGAAATGACCCAGGTAGCGCTGCCTGGAGGCGACCCCATCGTGATCATGGGTCATCTGCTCCGGCAGGAACAGAGCGGGATGGGAGGGTAAGAATATGAGGGTGCCCCTATACCCCGGGACACATCACCAAAAAGGAAGAGGCAGGATGCTGTGGTGGAAGGAGGCACTGGAGGACCCTAACAGAAGTGGCCTTGCCGGGCAGGGGATGGCCAACTCCCAGCTGGAGCGAGGCCAAAATAGCCGCGAAGGTGGGGAGGGCAGGGAGAGAAGGGAGTTTGCGGCCACAGGTCTGGAGTGCAGCGTGGAGCCCAACTCCGCGTGTACACAGATCCAGGCGCATCCAGGTGCGTCCGGTGGCCGGGTCCTCAAGGCAGCCGCCAGTCAGACTACAGGAATCCGGGGAGAGGGGTGGCCCCAGAATCGAGGGTCCCATAAACGGACGCCAGGCTGACCCGGGACGTCCTGGAGCCCGTGGAGGTGCCACAAGAGAGGTCCCAAGTAGACTAGGGTAGAGAGGGTCCTGGAGCCAAAAATCCTAAAGCAACACGGAGAGGACCGGGAGGAGTCCGAAGGAGATCGAGACGCAACACCGAGTTGGGAGCGATCCTGAATTGCCTAGGGGCGCCCCATGGCAGCCAGGGTCCCGAAACCTCTGGAGACACCCCCCCTCAACCTGGAATCTGGAGGCCAGAGGGGGTGCTCCTGAGTCTTGGAAATCAGCGAAAATGTCCCCCGAGGTGAGGCCGGATGCCCACATATCTGGGGACCTCTTCCCAAGTAACCGGTGGCCAGGGGCCCGTAGGGGCGCCGCCGAGATGACTCGCGTCCCCAAGTCTCTGAGGATGCCCGGGGTGACCGCGGGGCCGTGCGGAAGTGGGGGGCTCCGAGGTGTCCGGGGAAGGGCCCGCGGGGGCGCGCGGAGGTCACTTACGCTGCTGTTCTCCCCCGTCCAGTGCACCATCGCCTGGTTGTGCGTCGCGTCCCCCTTGAGCACGAACGACGTGCTGATGAGCGAGACCTGCGCCCGTGAAGCTGCTCCGGCCAGCGGCGCC